TTGTCAAAACTCGAACGGAACTTGACTTCTTCCTTGAGCAAATGCGAAATTGAAAGTTGCAAGTAGCTCTAAGCAACTTGTTAGTCACTACTAGGACATTCTACCTCGACATTGCAAATTTCCCAAGTAAAGAACATCCGTTTTTACAGTGATAATCATGTTCAAAACTTAGGTAGTATCCGGAAATACGGTATTACGTTCAAAAGACGAGTGGTGAATGACGCTTTACAACAAAATCAATAATTGGCAATCTAAGCAGAAGAAAGTTTCGATTTTAAACAAATATTTAACTCCAAAGGTGCGATCTGGGGACCTTCCATGCAGGTGCTCCTATTTTTCTCTTCTCACTGACACATTTTACTCTATGCAGCTCGATCTCCCAGAAAAAAAGTCATGGCCTTAAGCCGACGTCATACTTATTTATTGTATCCCCAAAATAATCCCATAAGCACTCGATCGGCCACTTTGGGTTCAGGCCATCACTCTTTTTCCGTCAGCAGTTGCTACGCATCGATATCCCAACCTCGTCCCCAGGGTCGTCTCTCTTCCTAGAATGTACCCTAGTTACAGCTGGCCACGTGCCTATGCAATACGAACCATGGCTGCACAGAGGGTGAGACCTCAACTTAATTTGTCAGCAGTGAAATTTAATTCTTTCTAGGGAGTTAGAATCAAAAAAAATCGATTTTATTCTTAAGCAGACTTCAAGTTGCGCTGCTTTCTGCTGGCTGTATATAGACGTTATTTTGATGGGCTGCATTCAAACAAATGAGAAGCTAGTCTCTTGATCGAACATTGGACTTATTTACCGCTAGACAAATAAATAAACGAAAGCCGTTGGATTTTGCGGATGTTGCTGATGTCAAGTTCCTCATAAACGTTTGTCACTGTAAGAGAATCGAACGACCGTTAAAACGCTCGAGTGGATGGATTCGATCAAATTCAAAGGCCGCACAATTGTAGTCTCTTGGCCACACACTGGACGTATCAAAATCTAAGCGTATGCATCAGCGCGATGCCCACGTTGTGATTTTGCCGATCGAATAATATAAACTTAATTCAGGGCGCAAACGTTATTGATGTTAAGTTCTTCCCTATTTTTTTTTCGCCGTAAGAGGATCAAATAACCGTGAAAATATCGATGGGAGAAATTCAATCAAATTCCAAACTAGCTTTGTGGGCGAAAAAGACACGTATTTCACGCAAAATAAATGAGTAAACACCTTCGTTGGGATTCTGCCGAATGAAAAAATGTTAGGCTTAACCAATTGACACCCCGAGCTTTTTGCCAAAAACGCATTTTTGGACATTTTGGACATTTTCAGCTTGGATGCGAGCCAAATTAGCTCAAGTATACTCAAAAAGGCATTTACAACATGACGACATGCCTTTCTTTCCACTAGCATCGCGTTTTATGACATTTTTGTTCGGGCATGCACAGAAATCAAAGTTTCTAGATTTTTTCATTTTTTTTTTTCGCTTTTCCTTTTCCTCCTTTTCTTATCTTTCTGCTACAGTGGTCGACCTTCTACTGGGCTTGCTTCCAGTTCAAGAATTCTGGAGAAAGCGTCATCGAGGCGGGCAATTCATACCACGGAGTAGGCAAGGGAAATTTTCCTCAGAGTTTTTCACCCAAATTTCTGAGCATTTTCGTGCTTAATTCAGGCTCAGTTGACCCAATCACTCTGATCTGGGTATTACTGGAAAGATCTTTATCTCCCGGAGAACTTGAGTATAAGCGATGCCAATTTTGGTCAAAAGTGATAACGTCAGAATTGGAACAAAGGCCAACGCTCGTCACGTCCGTTTACGGCCGGCACAGGTGCCAATGGGTTAATTCACCGCTCGGTTCATATAGTGTTGTGGTCGTCATTTCAAAGTTCCCAGCAAAAAATTTTCATCGCCACAAATTCCAAAGACCGTTCAACTATCGACGGGAAAAAAATGATCTAAATGCAAAGCTAATCTTTTAACCGAACACTGAACCCATTGAACTCCAATCGAATGTGTCAATATACCTTGACTGGGGGTTTTAGCGATCCACCACGCACAGGTTAGACATTCCACTCCCTACTTGACTCAGTAGGTGGCTCAGTGTAAAAAATCTTTAAACCTTTCCTGCCCCTCCCTTCGATCATTTTTCTGGAATTTGCTAAAATCTGGCAGACGCGTGACTAGCCGTAACTAGGTATTTTCTCGAAGAAGAGAGATGACCCTGTGAACGAGGTTGTCGATATCCGTGACCACNTTTTTTTTTTTTTTTTTGAAAAAAAAAGAACCCTTATATCAAGAGGTCTATACTTTGTAAATCCCACCTGCTGGTTCTTGAGAAGCAAGACAAGGACGGTATAAACAATTTAGTTTATGCATTATTTTCTCGTGAACTCAGATAATCTACTTGATCTTATAGAATGATCCAAAACAGCAGCGAAAAGAATGCGGAAGCTAAACAGGTAGAT